TTGTAGCTGATCTGTTTTGCAGCTGTCTCTCATAAAAAGCTGAAAGTTTTTCCTAACTTTACACAGCTCTAAGATGACAGAACAATCCCTTTAGGCACAGCTACAAGAGTAAAAAACAAAACAAACAAACAAAAAAAACCCACATAGTGGGGATTTTTGCTGCCATGGAAACACAATTTCTCAGTTAATAAGCATGAAAACAAAAAAATAAATATATATAAAATATCTTTAGTAATATTTTAGAATCTCAAAAAAGAGCCAGTTATGATTTTCAGTATGGGTTAATGCATAGGTCAGCATTTTATGCCATCAGATGATTTAGCCTGGGACCACAGCCAGAGGATGGAAACTCCAGGGGACTCATCAAAGGTGGGTAAAATGGCAGCAGGGACTCAGAGCTGACACATGCAAGTACTCACACTTGGAAGAAAATCTGAACTACTCCCCACTGCCCAATTAGCTGATGTGCTGCATTCATGGCTATCACATTGAGCATAAATAACTCCCTCGTAACTTGGGTTTCTCGTCTGTTGTATCACCCTGTTGTCTCTTTGCCTTCATCTGAGATTGAAAGTTCCCTTGGGATGGAGACTGCCTTTTAGCTACCACAAGCTAAACAATTAGAAGTACTAATAATTAGAGCTCCTGGATACTAAATAAGGTGACAACAAAAGAAAAATAACAAAAGCAAAGAAACAAACAAAACTAAACAAACAAAAAACAACACTTTTATTCCAGTTATCTTACAAGAAAAACTGCTCATCCTACACTGGCAAAAACAGATGAGAACACTTTAAATACTTACACAGAACGTCATGTTCGTGTATCTCAGAAGTGTACAGATTAAATAGGAGTCAGGATTAGCAACAAGCAACAAAATTTTCATAAGACTCCTCCTTTGCTTGTAAAAAATTCTGAATTCTAGAAGTCTACAGAATAAGAAAAGGACCTCAATACATTCCTGATTATTCATACGCAAAACAAAAAGGAAACAACTGGATAGCAACAAGATTAACTAATGAAAGGACTTTATGACTTGTGTCTAACCTATAGAGCACCCCATATATTATATTTGAGCACAGCATACATTTGAAAGCAAACCTCATCTATCACAGTCACAACACCTGGAAGTGTTGTGAACATGCATTTGAAGAAATAAACCACTGAACAGACTTTTCTTGTCCTAATGAGATTTGTTTGAAATTTTCCACAGAAAAACAAACTAAAAACTCAGCCTTCAACTTTTAGTTGTGAATGATGTCTTTTAGACACTGTATTTTGCATATCTAACCCTTTCATCCTCTGGGTTTGACAGATGCCTTCTGAGACCACAGTTCCATGAAGGAGCCTGATTGCTACTCCTTGCAGACACAGTTCATATTTCATGACAGATGACTGTTGCATGATCACATTCATTGTGGGAGCTGAAGTCGGGTGCAGGGATCCTGGCCGACAGAGAGTTTGGGAACTGGATGTTCTCCAATAGCACTTCAAATCAAAATCACTCCAGATTATAGATTAAGAGGGAGGAGCGTTGCCCACTTCTTAAAAATGAAGGGTTCTCTAAAAAGAAAATGCTACAGGAAACAGAGTTCTATTTCTTCATACAACTTTTAAATAAAAGCAGACAGAATGGCAGCTGGATTCTCAAGAACTAGCAATGTAGATATTTTATTAGGAAATGAGAAGCAATGAAATGTTGCTATACCTTAAAAGCTTACCTAATTTTTACAACTATATATCCTGCTTTACGAAAAAACCTCTCAGTAAATTTTGATGTCTCACATCATCACAAGTACAATCATAATAAGGTAGTTTTACTTCATAGGAGGAAAAAAATAAATCTCCTCTACTCTCTCAGTGAGAAAAACAAAACTACAAACCCCAACTGACAGATATTCCTTGCTACCCAGAAGAGATGCAGCATTCACAATATGGAAGGATGTGTGCTTTTCCTCAAAGCTTATTGCCTCATGACTGACCGTTTCAGGAGCAACTGAGGCTTTTTCTGTGATATTTTTGGGCCTCAGAAACATGGATTTACTTACTAGAGCCACATCCGTGCTCCTGCATTCAAATGCTGACTAGCATTTCCTCTGCCTAAATTCTTATCAGCCTGATAGAAGAGCAGTATCCAATATAACTTTTAATTCTTTCCTGCTCTGGCTCTCTTTTTTAATTACATTCAGGATGTTTTCATATCGATTTACTTGTCCTTATATTTAAATGCAGGAATTAGAAATTTCTCTTATATAGCATTTTCCATTAAAAGAAGTATCTCACACCATAACCCGGGGGGAAACAGAGCAAAAGCTTTTGATGCATGAAGCAGGTGGAGGCATGATGATATTTGAAGATTGCATTCCACTGTGCTCTGTCTTTGCAGCCTTTGAAGCACTGCTGTGCGATTCTTTCCTTTCTGCCACAAAAGCCATTCCTTTCTTATGGCAGCAACTGTTTGCCAAGTGCTCAGAGTAGGCATCACAGCACTGTGCTCAGACAGGGTACTTGGTTAGAAGAAAAAACAAGTGATAATCCCAGAAAACAGAAAGAGAAAAAATAATAATGGAAATTTCAAGACCTCCTGCTGATGACAACATATTTTATCATATGGGTTGATAGTGATAAGACAAGGGGAATGGTTTTAAATTAAGACAGGGGAGAATTAGGTTAGATATTAGGAGGAAGTTTTTTCACTCAGAGGGTGGTGACACACTATAACAGGTTGCCCAAGGAGGTTGTGGATGTCCCATCCCTGGAGGCATTCAAGGCCAGGATGGATGTGACTCTGGGCAGCCTGATCTAATGGTTGGTGACCCTGCACATAGCAGGGGGGTTGAAACTAGATGATCTTTGAGGTTCTTTTCAACCCAGGCCATTCTATGACTCTATGATATTTGCATTCAATGGAGCCTACCCAGCACCTGAGACTTAAACGTGGTTTTGAAGGAGTCTACAGAAAAGTAAATAAGGAAAGCAATTATATGGTCAGAAGACTAAAATTTGCTCCATAAAGACAAATCCTCCTTGTGAAATTTTCAGGTTCTCAGAAATTATGAGAAAGCATTAAAAAGTATCTACTTAAATAATGCAAAGTTTCAGTTACCTTAATGCAAAAATGTAACAGAATATCCCGAGAAAAGTAGTCTCATATTACTGCCTCCACATAGTACCTGTTTCTATTGCTACAATATCCTTTCCAGAGAAAGTTCAAGCTGTTCTCTAAAAACCCATGCTTCCCTCTGAAGTGTAGCATGGTTTCATCCTGAATTTTCCAGGTTTAGAGCCCAGGAACTCTACCTGCTAGCTCTTACCTCAACTATTCCTCACAGATCTTAGAAAAGAACCCAAGAATTCTGACTTCTCTACCTCTCTGAGTCTCTAGACCACACAATGGCCTCTATTTCACCGCAAAAGAGAGGTGTTCCAGAACCACCTGAAACCCATTCACAAGTCAGTGCATTTCCCAAGATGATCAACTACCTTATTTCTGCCACTGGGAAAACTCCAAGAGGAATGCTGCTGTTATCTTTCTGCAGAGCTCAGGTGCTGCTGTGAGATCAGTATTAGGACAAAATTTGTCTGCTCTTTACATTATTTATGCAGAGCAGATTGCTAAGCAATTACATTTTAAGTACAATCACAGCACCATTTGTACTTGTTAGGTAAAGAGGCAAAAGTTTTTTTAAGGCTTAAATATCTTGAAAAGTATGAAGTAAGTGGAAATTACTGTGTTCTCTCTTATTAGCTGCATGGTTATTTATACCTTTGCAGATTACCACAGTGCAGTGCAATTAGACTTTGGAGTAACTGTGCAAACTGAGAAGTTTCAAGAGCTCTACCAAACAATTAACCCTCAGTGTATTAATGGAGGCGACCCCACAACATACTTTCAAAACAGGGGCTTTTAAATTAACTTGGAAGAAAGGATGACAGATCACCTGGCCAGAAGCTGCTTGCTTACACCTGGAACAACAGTTACAACACAGGAACAGCTTTCACCAAGTACGATTTCTGGAAGCTGAGTAACACCCATGATAGAAAAGGTAAATCTAATACAAAGCACCTATGGCAGCTTCCCCAGTGCCTCTACGACTCCTTTGCCCCTCTTTTTTTTTCCTTTTTTTTTTTTTTTTTTTTTGGTCCATACAGTAAAAACCACCTAATAACAATTCTTCTAAAGTCATACCCTTTCCACACCACAGGTGGGCTATTAGAAGGAAGAGCAATTCCCAGCAGGTAGAAACTATTGCTGATTTGGAGAGATTAAGGAATTGGGCTACCTGTATTTATTTATTTATTTTTACAGGGGTGTTCTGCGTGTTTGGGTTTTTTGTTTCTTTCTTTCTTTCTGTCAACACACATACACTCTGTCCAGCATGCTTTCCCAAGCCAGGACATTCCATCTCCTGCACACTATCAGAAACATGACAGATGACAGGCATATGACATTATCTGAGTTAACCCATAGTGCAGGAGATACAAGTACCTCACCATGATCTCTAGTACTTTTGTGGCTACTGCCCTCAAAGCCTCAGGCAACACCAATTCACTGCTAAGATGACCACCTGAGTTCACAAGGCTGAGGAATGTGACTGAGATTAGCTAAGCTCATACCAGAAACTCTGCTGTAAATCATCTTGGACACTTGCTCCAGCAAGCATGTTGCCATCTACAGAGAATACTCTCATTACCAACATAGTGGCAGAGATTCTGAGAAGTGAAAAGAGGACACTCAAAAGGACTGAATGAAACCAACCTCCTCTGGGCATCAAGGAAATGCCTTACCTGAAGAAAGCCTCACATATGCAGACCTCATTTTGTTAAATTAATGTTTTCTCAATCATGTGTCCACTTTCAAAGAGCAACTTCACATCTACCTCATACTCCCTTCTCTCTCCTAACCTGATCAGCTCCAATCTCCTTGCTCACCCTCCAGTTTTACAAGAGGCACAATGCACACATCCACATCAGTACTGTGTTCTGCATGATCTGCTTACCTCCACAGTGAGCTCTCAGTAACACTTCCCAAGTTGAAGTCATAGAGCTTTGTCAGAATGAGTATCACCTAGAAGAGAAAGGGAAAAGAAAAAAAAAAGTTTCCTTTAGACTGTGTAACAATACATAAGGCATCTGAAATCATCCAAAGGAGAGCTTAGCATTTATTCATTAAGGTTGCAGTATTATGAGATCAAGTTTAAAAAAAAAAAAAAAAAAAGGAAAATTCATTCTGTTAATGCATCATGTAACCAGTAACATTTATTCTAATCCTAGAGATGTTTTGCATTTGAAATAAAACCTGCCAGCAGGAATTAACTGAACATTGTGAGTTGCTCTCTCTACATCTATGTTATTATTCAAGGTCAGGAATAGAATTGGATGCATCCTTGTTAATCCAACAGCCCAATCAGAAATTACATTTGACATTTTCCTTTTTCTCTCGAGATGCTGATGTGAACTACCTTGTCACCATGGATAGTAATAGCAAGTTTGTTTATGAAGATCCCTATCTAGCAAAACAGTCCATTTTGCCCAAAACTACCTTTTCTGCAACAAGGACCTTTCTACCTCCCTTTTTCCAAAAGACCTGTTCTCTCCCTCCCTTTTCCTCCTCCCACAGCAATGGGACTTGCCACTCCTTTTGTTTGGGTTTCCCAGCTGCAAGGCTGCTGGGTGAAGAATGGGTGAGGAGTTCTAAAGCTCTGCAGAAAGGAAAAATACCAAAGGATTAATCAATATCACAAAGGCTGCAGCAGTCTGTTACCGTCAGCACGATACCGGGAAGAGACCTGTTCAAATTGTAAGGACCTTGATACGTGACTATGCAGTCAGTGCCCAACTTAATGGCTTTCAAAAAGATGCTCTGAGCATCCATCTCTCTACTGGATTCACAGCCCCCTCCCCGATTGCATTTTTCCCTTTATTTCCCCTCGCAGAGACCTTTAGGAGGGATATAAAACCCAAGCTGCTTCCAGCAGGGTGTGAAGAGAAACCTGCCAGGCAGATTTGAGTCAGCATATGCAAGTCCATGTCAGCCTAAACTGTTTCTGTGCAGTGGGGAAATAAGAACAATGCCTTTTTTTATTGCAACTTAAACCCTGCACACACCTTCCCATACAAATGGAGAAGAATCAGCTGCCAGTCACAGCCATCAAGGTACATACACACTGCTTCCTTTTACACCAACTAATGGAAGCAGTACAGCCTGCAACTAAAACCTGATGAGTGATGTTTTTAGGATGCACCCTACAACCCCAGAGATTCTCTCAAGAGGTTCTTGGAAGCCATGCCCCACAGCACAAGCATTGCCTTGCCAGAAGTGACTCCTTTCTTATTGCTCACGGCTCCAGAGAGGTTTCACAAAGGTAGTTTCCCCTCTTTTGACACCTAATCACTATTGAAAGTCCTGCTGGTTTCATAAAGTCAGCAGATCCTGGATCCCTAAACTTCTTAAATGAAGCCCTTCTCCTCTGTGCTGCTGAAGTTCAATCGGGATAATTCTTCCTGAAGTTGCAATTCCAAATGGAGGCAGCAACCATAATCCTCCAGCATCCTGTATCCTCTCACATCCCCTGTGCTCTGTATTTTTGAAGATGTCAGTGGCCTGCTTTAAACCCTGCAAACAGCAGGATAATGCCAGCTCTGCAGGAGGAGGTTGAATCCTACTCATCTCCTGGGTATTAATCCAAAGTAAAGGCACGTTGTTTAGTAGGACTTGTTGAAATTTCTACCCAGGATGCCTAACAAAAATCCAGCTCTGCCTATTGTCAAGGTGTGGAGAACAAAAGCATAGCCTTTGTACTTTAATCTCACAGAGGGTACCACGAAGCAGCAGAAGTTTCTTGAGGCCCTAGTATCACAGGGCAGCCACAGGCAGCACATTGCCCACAGAACCACTCACCTCATAAGCCCCAAAGGCCTCTATCCCATCCCACTGAGTTTTGAGATAATATTGTTGAAATTCAATACAGGTAATGCTCACAACAGTTTGGAAACTTGAAGACCAGAGAAGAGTGGAGAGGGTTGAATACAGCCTACCTGACAAACACTGCAAGGGCACATTCCCCACAACCTCACAGCAGGAGATTGCAGGTGCAAATGGTGCTACCAGGGAGGCAACCCACATGAGGTTAGAGCACAAGTCAGAGTCCAAAGATATGTCTGGTTACTGATCTGTTTTCAAAGGGGGCTTTTGACACAGCCTTGCAAAGGAAACCTCAAAGCATTTCAAGGGGCTGTTCTGAGACCTCTGTGTCATGCTGGAGCCAGCCATGCCACTAAGCAACTATCAGCAAGGTGGGTGTCGTGTCCCTGAAGACACCCAAGGTCAGTCTGGAGGGGCTCCAAGTATCTGATGGAGCTGGAGGTGTTCTTGCAGGGGAGTTAGACTAGGTGACCTTTAAAGGTCCCTTCCCTCAAAGACTCTATGATGGTGCAATTCTAAGGGTGAAGGGGCAGCTCTAGGCAAGTACCCCATTTCCTAGCATGTCTGCGTACATGAATATTTCAGCAGAAACAGAATGGAAGTAAAAGAAAATTATACATTTTTTCTTAAGTACAAAGTTGAATTCTGACAGTTGAAAGAAAGAAGAAAAACCCTCACTGATTCAAGTCGAGACATTTGATTCCAATGTTCACTTTGTAAAAAAACAAAAGCTTGGCTTGTTTTTGTCAATGCTAACTAATAACCATGGCTTTTCTGTGTCATAGTAATTTCATATTAAAATTTTGACAGTTTTCATTTTAAAAGCTGAATTCAATGGAAAATTGGATTTTTCACATTTAGCGTAATGCTTAAAAAAATACATATATGTTTTGTTCTTCCCCTGAAATGTGGGAAATCTAGAATTTCTACCCCACAGCCCAGTCTTCCACTTAAATTAAGATGAAAACATTTTGCTCTGGGGAAAAGAAATAAAAAAGTTTGAAGTGGTATTGATTCAGAAAAAAACAACTTTCACTTAAGCATTTTTTTTTTTTAATAAAACACCCTTATAGTCCCAAATGAAACCATCTTGTCTGTTCATGAAATCAACCCCCCAAAAATTCATTTCAAGTCAGCTGAATGCTGAACTGCATTTTTCTCCAGGCTCATACTGCTGACTCCAGGGAGCATAGTTCAGATGGGAAGAGTCCCTCCTCCTCCTCCCACAGGGCAGGCTGCAGCACTTCCCTGGACACCCCAGAGGCAGGTAGCCCTGAGGGCACCAAGCAGCTCAGCTGGCAGAAAAGGAAAACAGGAGGACCAGGCTGCAGGACAGAGTTGGGAAATAGGTCAGGCTGAATTACAGCTCCCTCAAGGCAATACAAACCCTCTGGAAAATGCAATTTAAAGCTGAGCTTACACAAAACTAAATGACCTGAAAATTCAATAAACTGTTTCAGTTTTCAAGACAGAAGTGGAGATGGGAGAAAGATAATCAGAAAAATTATTCTTTTTCCTTTGGAAATAAATGACCTCCTAGTCCTGCAATAACTTTCTTGTGCACTGTGTTTTACATATACACATCCCATACGCTTTTGTTTGTTCACTTATTTCCAGGAACTGCACTGTTGGCCGAATACCCTGCTGTAATGACTCTGTGTAATCGATAGGAGTCAGGTTTTTTCTTATCTTCAGCATCTTATACACTAATACAGCTTAAGATTTTCTGGTGTTTTCAAATCCTGACATCCCACTGTAAAAGTGGATTAACCCACTGAATTTAGGTCTGATGTGATGCAACTCTTGTCTATACTACAGCCAGCGGGTCTTCAAGATTGCCCAATCCAACAAACACAAGTCTTGACACAATTTGACTGATGTGAAAGTAGAGAAAAATATAAACAGAAAGGGGAAGAGAAGTCTCTTTCCATGTTCAAAACATGTCCCTGAAGGGGCTCCTATTGTTCAGAAAATTATTAGGAATCTCTGAGCCCATATATCACAAGAGTGCTCAGCAGCTCTCCAGAGTATTTGGTGGTATAGCAATCTTTTGTGCTCATAAAATTTTACTACAAAGGAAATTTACTTCAGTTCATTAAACCCTCCTCCAAATCGTGCCAATTCCAAGGTGGCAAAATGCTTTGCACATACCCCACAGCAGATACGTTACTCTTATCCACAAATTAAACTGAAAAGACATTGCAGTTTCTTCAGCAGGTTGACAGCAAACTTCAGAATGAGCAAGAAACGCCAAGTCAATGGCAGTGGTGCTCCCCCATCAAGAGATATCCGTAATGGAGAAGAGGAGCAGCAGCCAAAGAGAACAGTGATCATTTCAGATAGATGTCTGAAAAGCTAGCACTGACCCATTTCATGAAACTCATCTCCCCTCTAAGTGATACTGCTTTATCAGCACAGAGATTTAAACAGCTCATCAGCAGCCCTGTCCACATATTTACAGAAAGTAATTAATAACGAGCAAAGGGATGAACGCCAGGCAGCACACAGCAGAACAACAACAAAGAAAAAAAACACCAAAACTGTGAACAGATTTACATGTGAAAAATGAGAGCGCTCTGCTAGCTTGTCTGGTATGCTGGGGTCACAGACTCCATTTCCTGCCTACAGACCTACTTTCAGGATCTTTGAAACCTTTTCTGCCCCACGCACCAACCACAGGAAGCTTGCCCACAATTTTCAGCCACCTTTCCCCAAGCCATAGAGCCCAATACATAAATTAAAAATGGGAATAAGCAAAGCTCCTGGGAACCAGTAAGGGGGAAACTGCTCACAGATGAAGGGAAATTGGCTTAAAATGCTTGAGGACTTGTACTGTGCTATGGAGGTCCCTAGCTGCTTATTTCTTTCTTCTCTTTATTAATTTTGACCCTTTAAAAGATGACCTAACCAACAAGCCAACGAAGTTACTCAGGGTAAGTAATATAATCTTTCTTCCATTCTCTGCATTTAAAGCTAACTCAGGCAAAAGCCATCAACATCTGCCTCTTTCTACACAAATGTGGGAACATAACTGTGTTCAATATATGTTAGTGCTGATGTGTGGGGTGGTTTGAATTCAGCCAGCAGCTGAGCACCCACCCAGACTATCACTCACATCCCACTCCAGTGGGATGAGGAAGAGAATCAGAAGAACAAGAAGAAAAGTTTTCATTTGAGAGAAAGATAGTTTGATAAGTGGGGGAAAGAGGAAAAAAGCCATCACTGAGTGTCTCCCGTAACCAGATGAATGCCCAGCAAGTCTCTCAGCAATGGTTACCTTGGAAAGACTACTCTCTGATTTTTATCACTGCATACAATACTAAATAGGATGAAATATCCCTTTTGACAGCTTGAATCAGGTACCCTCATTGCATCCCTCTACTCTGCTCCTCGGGCATAGGGAAAAAAAGAAAACCTTGACACTGTGCACCAACTATTCAGCAAAAGCTGTAACTCTACTATGTGAACACTGCTTTAGTCAAAAATCCAAGCTGCTATGTGAAAAAAAAAAAAAAAGTATTAACTCCAACTCAGGCAGATTCAGCAAAAGCGTTTTCCTATATCAAGGTCTAGCAGTTCTCAAAAACTATCGCTGCATAATCCTGATCCCACCAGAATTTCCCCCAGCACACAAACACCACACACGTACATCGTATGTGTACACATGTGATCATGCACATCACCATCCTCATTTGCTAATACTTGGGAGTGCAAGAAGCATACAGCGCCATTACAATGCACCCATTTCACAGGCTTTTACAGATTCAGCAATCACCACAACTATGAGAAAAGGCAAGTAATGTCATCTTTGCTTTACCGATGAGGAAGCAGAGGTGGGGAGAAATTAAATGTTTCTCTATATAGAAACACTGAGGAAGAGGAATCCAAATCAATGTTTTGAGTTTGCTTCAATTCACTTAGCAAGTTCATTGGAAAAAATTAAATTGAAG